GAAGAAGAAGAAGAAGAAGAGGAAGAAGAAGAGGAAGAAGAAGAGGAAGAAGAAGAGGAAGAAGAAGAGGAAGAAGAAGAGGAAGAAGAAGAGGAAGAAGAAGAGGAAGAAGAAGAGGAAGAAGAAGAGGAAGAAGAGGAAGAAGAAGAGGAATGTGTCCTACAGGCAAAGCACCATCGGCGTTTCTTGTGTTTTTCCCACGACCCACTTTTGATCTCTTGATTGTTTTTGATCAAAGGAACCTGCTATCGTTGAAAGTTAAAAACTACTTGGGGGAAACTTCTACTCTATCAAAAAGTTAATGACAAGTCATTTTTTCCTCATTTTCTTTTCCTCTCCGTGCTTCAAATATCTTTTCCTTTTTTCCTGACATCCCAACGTCGTCAGGCCCCTTAGGGATCAAAGTGATACCACATTGCAGTAGTTAATTGGTAGGCACTATTAGTACCAGCGGTTCCCAAAGTGGGGGACGCCCCTTGAGGCAAATTACATTCAATTTCAATACTTTCTTTGTTTGTCCCACAGTGGGGGAAATTGATTTGTAACTGCATTTACTACGTGGAATGAAAATAGCAGTTTAGTAAGAACTGTGTACAGATTTAGTTTACGACAGACTTCAGTGATGATTTCCAGGCAGACGCTATGAACATATCAATTCATTAATGACTTTGTCTTATTCCCAACATGCGTCGCAGCTAAATTAGAACCATAAAACAATGGCACAGTGGCAGTGTTGGAGATGAATGAAAACACAGAGGCTAATGAGTGTTGTCGTATACTGCTCTGTCATCTGGGTCGCATGTATCCAAATACGCTACAAATGCTGGTGCCAAGAAAGGAAATGAGTGGACAATTTTAGAAGCTGAGTGGCCTTCACAGAGTCCAAACTGAATCTCTTCAGATTTGTTTGGAAGCAGCCAACACACGTTCGACCAGTGTTTCCCTTTTTTTTTGTTTTTGAGCTACAGTACATTTTACATTAGAAAACTCCCACACTGCAACACACACAAAAAAAAAACATTCAAAAAAGTATATACAGAAGGTCCTCGGTTTACAACGTCCTCGACCTACAGCGTTCCATGGTTACGTCACCATGTCGGGGCAGTGGTGGCTTAGTGGTTAAGGAGGTGGACTTGGGTCTGGAGTCCACCAGCTGCCAAGTTACCACTGAGGTGCTCTGAGCAAGGCTGGTGGCAGGTGGTGATTGGTTAAAAACAGAGGTCACGTTTGGTTGTGTGCTGTAGTAGTTCACTTTCTTTCCTTTCCATCTCAGAAAGTCTTGTTGCATCATCCAGACATACAGCTTTAAAACAGATTTCGCAAGCGTAGCGCACGAATAGGTCGTACCACGGTGCACGGCACATCTTCACCGTTGGTACATCACACATTGGACTGAGTTACATTCGCATTCTTTTGTTTTTGTTGTTTTTTTTGGGAACTTTCCCTTCATTACAGCTTTATAGCCAAGCGCAAGTCAGACTCTTCCTGTCCTAGATTGTGATGTAAGAACTGTGTTAGCGTAGGTTAGTGACATAGGTACTTAAGTACATTTTGTGTGTTCCGACTTACAGCAAAAAGTTAATAATTCAAATTCCTCATAATTTACTAACTCATATTAAACCCTGTCCAGTTTAGTTGAACACAACACTGAAATACTTGCAGGAATTGAAGAAAGCCATGCATGAAGATCTATTCAACATCCCCTTATTTTTACCCAGCTAGTGATTTCTGCTGCCACCCACTGGAATAATGTTGAATTGCTCAGCCTGTTGCTGTTCGATTAAGACAAATTAGTTAAGAAGAAAAGTTTTCAGACCAATTAAGTGAAATTCGAGATTGTGATGGCTGAAGACACAAACACACCACTGTAGATTTACACAACGCTGATCACGGCAGCAGCTGGGTAAAAATACCCAGTGGTGTTTATCGGTCCTCCATGGGGAATGTCCACCATGCCTGACTGTAATCACTGACACTGGCACAATTATCCCCTGCTATGCAGAATACAGCAGCAGCAGCAAAAGTACACGCTGGGATTATGTACTCAGCAAGTGTAAAAACCACAGCGTCAAACCCACCTGTTTTACCGCAGACCGCTTCGTAGACCGTTTGCTGACCCACGGTCCCGGCTCCGGAGGCTGGACTCTCTGAGGACGGTTGCCTGTTTATCAGACAGGAGATAAGTGTCAAGTGGAGGAGAATGTTTATCATAACACAAAGACCACCTACATTAAACTCAACATTTTTTCTGACTGTAAATGCGCAGCAATGTTGTTTTACGTCTTAGCCTATAGCTTTAACTCAGGGGTCACAAACCATATTTGGGACACATTTTTTATGGACACCTTTGAGGGCCGTACACTCTTTATAATAAAATAAAAATCGCATTTTTGTTTCACATTATTATCTGATGTTTATTTTGAAATCCAGTCACAGGCCAGAATGGACGGTTTTGTGGGCCAGATTTGACCCGCGGGCCACCAGTTGATAATCACAGCTTCAAATGAATGGTCCGTGCCGTCTGATAAGTATTCCAGCCTGTATCAAACCGTGTGCGTCAGCGCGCACCAGTACGGGTTAAGTGTTTGCCGAGCTCCTGTCATCAGCTATTGTGACAAGGAGGAGGCAAATTCCTGCTCCTTGTCCTGGGTGATGTGATTTTCTCACTGGCAGAAGTTCCGTGGTGATTACGGATAATTTGGAACCGAAATGGCTACAGGCATAAACAGCACAAACCTACTCTCTCATTGGATGAATGGTGAACACACTCGTACAGTAGGCCTGTATACTTGTTATATATATATAAGTCAAAGAGCTCCACACCGGAGTCTGGAGATCAGAGACAACAGATTACAGACTGTGTGGTTGGTTTGTTTTTTTCGACAGTCCAAACAGTGTTTTTTCATAAGGGAAAAAAAAATTAAATTAAATTAAAAAAATCATTACAGGAGCCGTTTTAGTGTAGTGCAGGAGCCGACATGTGTGTAACCTTATACATTAAATCTGTTAAGCATTTTTAGGGGAACAATAAATAAAGCTTTGCCGGCGTTAACCTCTCGCCCCATAACAGCAGTGTGCAAAAGGAGCATTAACAGGGGTAATGAGGGTACACACTACCTCCTTGTAAGGGGCTGCACAGTTGTTCTTTCATACCATTACACAACCACAAATAGAACTGGCCCACTTAAAGAGTGGCATACCTCCACAGGAAGTGAGCGCTTTCATATTGAGAGGGGGGAAAAAAAACTTGACCTCGAGGTTCTTCACATCACGTTCTTTGTCAACAGTCTCTTGCTCTGACACCCTCCCTCCAACCATCCCCCCAGCCCCCCCGACCCGACCCCTCCCCAACCCACTGAGCCAGGCAGCAGCCAGAAGCACCGCGGGCTGAGACACCAATCCCAAACTCACAGTGTGTGCAGATGATATTTAAACCCAGAGTTGAACATTTCACAGTGTTCACACACAGAGGTGAAGTTTCTATGTCAACATGGCCGATGTGCAGCTTTTTTTTTTTTAGGTTCAGGTACAACGGGCGTGTCCTAATGTCGCTGAAATTGACCAAGCAGGGAAAAAAGTAGAACAGTAAACACACTCTTGGCAGCGTTTGGCCCAGTGCAGTATCCTGTGAGAAAAACTACCGTTGTGGCTGATTAATAGAGAGTGAAAGCAGCAGCGAGGCTGACATTAATGGTGCTGCTGTAATTGTCACTCTATTAGTAAAGCCACATGACAGACTTGGTTTCTGTAGCTACAGCTGTGACGAGCCAAATCGTGCAAACACAACACCAAACAGCCTCATTTATTTGTCTTACAAATTGCTCTTTTCAAAGACCTCACTGAAGTCATAGCACGCTGACTCCTCGCAGCGCCACACGCTGGCAGCTGTGGCACGTTGAGAGACCAGAGGGAGCCCTGCCCTGCTCGCTGCGATACCAACACAAAGTACACTTGGCTTGTACGACGGGTACTGCAGTGTAATTCAAACCAAAGACGAGCCAAAAACTCTGCAGTCTGCAATCAGAAAGGGCTAGGATTACGATTTGATTTACGCAAGACTGGAGCTTAGAAATGTGTAGCAATATTTGATATTTGTAAAACTTGATTGGACACGTTTGGTTAAACTTATTTTTTTTGTCATTTGTTATTTACAATTATGTTATGGACCAAACAATTTTTTTTAAAACACTAGAAAATCAAAGGTTTGGTAGATGTTGACTGAAACCAAATAAATAACCGAGTAGCAAAACTTAGCTCAATGTTAGCTAACGGTAGTCACAATAGGCACTAAGATTATTGATACACAGTACAGTAAACATTGATAAAAATGTATATAAAAATCAATTAAAATTATTCCAACAGCTGGTTTTGCAAAAAAAAGGACGTTATAATACCTTGTAATACGCCAACCATAGCAAGTAGCTTAAGGTTAGTTTGTTAAACCCCAGCAAAACGGTTTCCGATGTCCTCAACTTAAGGCATTTGTAATTACATCACCATCCAAAAATTCCAAAAATTCGAAAAGTCTTGTTTCATCATTCCGACGTATAGCATTAAAAATATATGCCTTAACGCGAAGTGGACAATTACGAATACGTCGGCACGCGAACCTATACGCAGAAGATGGCTTTGTTTACATTGCTAATTGTACGCCATACATTGGACTTTGGAATTTTTTCTGTCCTTCATTATGGATCCCTAACGTAGTTCAAACTCTTCTGATGTCATATAGTGATGTCACCACTGTGTTAGCGTCGGTGAGTAACACCGGTACTTATGTGTAGTATGTGAGTTCGGACTTACAGCGAAAACCAACTACAAAACATAAGTTGAGGTTTAGCTAAATTAGCTAAAGGCTGCTGCAATAGCGAAAACAGTGAAACAGCAAAATGTCAAGCAAATATACCAAAAAGGAATGTAAAAAAAAAACAAAAAATTAAAAATTTGACAATACAGCTGAAAAGAGCTTAGATTAAAACTGTTAAAAAGAATGTTGTGTAAAAGAATCAGCCAAAAACAGAGCAAATTACTTTAAAGAGTTACATAAAAGATATTTATGACCCAGAAAAATCCCAGAAATACGGAGTAGTTAACAGTCAGGAGACGTTAAAGTCTCTTTTCCGTAGACTTTTCTCCTTCCCTGGTGAGAAGTTTCAGGCAAATTTAACTGAACATTGAACTCTAGTAGCGTTTCACTAAGCGCTCCCAGGGAGGAAACGTATTTGTGTGTGTGAAAAAAACAAAAAAAAAAAGAATCCATTTCCTTTGCTAAGCAACACCAAAACCCAAATGTTGTGATGACTAGATTGGACTAATAAGTGTCAGAGATAATTAGTGGTGCCTTACAGTACATGTGGGAGACACTTCTTCATTTGTATCAAAGACTCATTTCACAGCTGAGCAGCTGGCCAGAGGGAACTGTTTGGTGTAAGGGTCCAGATAACCTTGAACTGTTCACACACAGCCCATCCATTATGAGCTGGAGGATCTCAGCCATACGCTGGGATTCATATCAGATGTGCTGCAATAACACAAGTATTAGGTTGCCCCTGAAACCAGGACTGTAAATAATGGGAAGCAACTTATCCCCCCCCCCCCCCCCCT